ATAGAAAATCTATATAGAATCTATTAAAAAACTTAGCAGTAATAAGTGATTTCATCAAAGTTGCTTGTATTTGTATATGCTAGCAATTAACATATGAACACCAAAATTAAATATACATTACCATTTTCAATCACGCAAAAAATAAAATATTTAGCTGTAAATGTAAAAATATATACTGGACTTGTTCCTGAAAACTACACAATGCTGGTGAAAGAAATTAAGGACAATATAAATAAATGAAAAGATAAGGAACATACGCTAATTGGAAGACCCAACATAATAAAAGTGTGAATTCTCTCCAAATTAATACAGATTTAACAAAATTGTTATCAAGATTCTAGTAAGAATGTATATATAGATAAGATTATTCTAAAGTTTACATGGAAAGACAAAGAAATAAGAATAGCTCGAATGTTTTTGAAAAGGAAAAATAAAACAAGGAATCTACCCAATTTGGAAACATTATGTAGCTCTTATAATAAAGACTGTGTGGTATTGGTGGAAAGGCAGACACACAAAATAATGGAACAGAACAGAAAACCCAGAAATAGACACACTCAATTATGTCAAGTTGATTTTTCAAATAAGGTGTAAAAACAATTCAGTGGAGGTAAAGATAGGCCTTTTAACAAATGGTGCTGGAATAGTTGGATCTATAGGCTCAAAAAAAAAAAATGAATCTATCTGAGTCTACCTCCTAAAATTTAACTCAAAGTGGATCATGAAGTTAAATGATGAGTCGAATCAAACCAATATTAAAAACTTTTCTATAAAGGTTTGGTAAAGACGATAGAAAGACAAGCTATAGATATCTGACAGATGTCTGACAAAAGACTAGTATCTGAATTATATATAGAAATCTTAAAACTCAGTTAAGAAAATTCAATTAGAAAATAGACAAAGAAATGAAGAGAATTTTCAGTGTAGATGGATCCTGAGATATCATGCTAAGCTAAATAAGTCAGACAGAAAAAGTTGAGAACCATGTGATTTCAGTCATATGTGGGATATAAAACTGAAAGCAACAAACAAACAAGACAGAGACTCAGACGCAGACAACAGTTTAGTGGTTACCAGAGGGAAGTGGAGGAGGTAGATAAGGGTAAAGGGGGTCAAATATATGGTGACAGAAGGAAATTTAACTTTGGGTGGTGAACACACAGTGCATATAACATATTATTGAATTGTACACTTGATACCTATACAATTTTATTAACCAATGTCACCCCAATAAATCTAACTAAAAATGCAAAAAAAGAGAATATATAGATGGCATGTAAGCACATGAAACATCATTAGCTCTCAGGGAAATGCAAGATTAAACCACAATGAGATATCAATATACACCTATCGGAATGTCTAAAAAAAAAAATAGTGACAGTAGCAATTACTGGTGAGGATATAGAGAAACTGCATCACTTATATATTGCTGATGGGAGTATAAAATTGTACAGTCATTCTGAAAAAGTTTTTTAAGTTTCTTAAAAAGTTAAAAAAAGATATCTATCATATGAAATAGCAATTGCACTTCTGGGCATTTATCATGGAGAAATTAAAATTATGCTCACACGAAAACCTTTACATAAATGTTCATAGCAACTTTATTCATAATAGCCCCAAAATGTACAAACCCAGATATTCTTCAATAGAAAGATGGTTAAACAAACTGTGGCATATCCACATCATGGAATGCTACTAAACAATGAAAAGGAAAAAGCTACCGATATACACTGTAAGAATCTCCAGTGAATTATGCTGAATGAAAGTAGTCATTCTCAATTAATTACAAGGCTGTATGATTTATCTTATATAATATTCATGAAATAATAATTATAGAAATGGAGAATAGATTAATGGCTGTCATGGGTTAAGAAGGGGATTGGGTAATGTGGACATGGGTGTGGGTTGAGCATTTTGTGTACATGAGAGAGGACACTCTGTTAGGAAATCTCAAACAAAATTAGGATACTTCCATTAATTCATTCAATTATGAAATGAACACTCCTTGAGTGCCAATCCTGTTCCAGGCTCCGGTGATATAGAGATGACTGAGTTAGGGTCCTAACCATAGACAATTTCCACTCATTTGGGGAGGGAGATATTTAGTCCATAGGATATAATCTTAATATTTGTATTAGCACAATACAATGTAGTCTATATATAAAAACATGCACATATATGAGAGAGTATGTTAATTATTTTAAATAGCAATTGCAATTTCGGGAAATTGCAAGTACTTTGGTATAGTTGGAGAAAAGGATGTGTGTGTGAGGAATTGGCAGGTGGTAAAACTAGGAAAGACAGCAATCACTATAACCTTAATGGTCTCAACTCCATGCTAGCATCTGTCTGTACAGTAGGAAGAACTTTCTGCAAAAAAGAAGTCCAAACAATAAGGATAATATAAATGAGTTGTTACTGATAAACAGTTGAGAAGGGATACTAAGGATAATATTGGAGAATGCAGTCACAACGGGAAAGTTAAACAGACTTGTTTATACCAATATTTAAAATACCTTTATGTTTTGACTTAATTTTTAATGATATTAAAAGACAACTCACTAGGGAAAATATTATAAACATATAAGGTTATATACAAGGTTATACAAGGTTAACACCCTAACTAAATTAAGAACTCAAACAAGTAAGTTTTTAAAGACAACTGAATAGAAAAATTGACAGGGGACATGAACCAGCAATTCACTATAAAAGAGTCATAAATGAGCCATAATCATATCAGAAAGGTGTCCATGATCACTTTAAATCAAATAAATATAAATTTGAACAATACCGAGAATTAATTCTTCACCTATGAAACTGTAAAAATGATAATACCCACTTTCATGAGGATATGAAAGACAGGCCAAATAAAACAGTATAAATAGAAACATTAATCAAAAAAATAAAATTTAAGTGTAACGAATGGTTTTGAAAAGGGACAGACTAAAGGGACCACTTAAGAAACTATTACATAATTCATGTAGCAGCACTGTAAGTGGAGAGTAGAGAACAGGTTGCAGACACACTAAGATGTAAGATCTATAGTGGAAACTGAAATTTAGGAAGGAGTCAAGAATAATTCTTGATCTTCCACTTTTAATTCTTAACTAGATTGTGGAATTACATAAATCCTCCCCAACTTTAATAGGAAGATTAGACACACACACACCCACACACGAACAGCATTTCTCATTCTTTTTCCTCTTTGGGACAAAATATAATTTTTCTCATCTGTTTTTCTTAAACTTAGACTGCGTTTCTTTGCTCAGTACAAAAAAATATAAAGAGCTATGATGCATTGGGAAGGTACTATCAGAATCTTTACATACATATTTGATTTACTCTTCGTAACACCACGAAGTAGGAAACACACTCAAAGCCAATAAAGTGATTTGCACAAGGGTGTGTGCGTGTGTGTGCGCTTGCGAGCGCAGGTAGGTAGGTAGGTAGGTTAAGGATTAGGATTATAGGATTTGAATCCAGATCTATCTGGTCAATACTCCATAAGGGGTGTTCTTTGTACTATAGACTCACATAATAGTCATTTACAATCTAGATAAAGTATCAAAAGTTAGACAAAGGAAAGATTTTGACACTCTGTCTGGTAAAGATGATTCACTCAGCTATAATATTTGCTCAAAACTGTAATGGAGCCTAGATTCTGTCCATCTACCCTCTCAGCTGTGTTTAAGGACCTGTCATATGTGCCTATCATGATTAATATGCATTTCACTGGGTGCTTCCAAGGAGGCTAGAAGTGCTGTGGTGATGCCTTCAGTATCCACCTTAGTTATGCAGATGAAAGGATAGTTCCTGGGATGCTTTTACATTTGGCCTACTCAAAGCCTTAAATGCCAAGCTCAAGGCCTATCTATCTCCAGCCTTCATTCTTTCATAAACTCATACCTTCAATTTACAAACTTGTACTGACTGCAAGACAAGCAGTGTGTTGGGCTCTGACAATACGAAGATGAATTAGAGTGACCTTGTTCTTCAAGGAGTTTACATCTGGATGGGAAGTAGAAAAACCTAACATGTAAATAGAGGTTATAACTGCTGTGATATTGTTACTCTGTGGAGTGTGGAGTTATAAAAGAGCGGCACAAAACCTAGTTTGGTGTTCAAGGAAGATGTCGTGGAGAAGATGGTTCTTGTCCTGAGTCAGATGAAGAGGAAGTGGGGAAAGCATATGCAAAGATATGGCAACAAGAAAGACCGTTTGGGTAATTTAGTTTGGCAGGAGTGTAGCACATGAGGAACAGAAAGTACTAAGGATGAGGTATAGAGAGTTACAGATACTAATCATTAGATAATTCAATACCAGACAAAGTGAGGCTTAAATCTGACTAAAGTGGGGAATCAATGCAGAGTCATTGCCGGGGAGTAACATGGTCAGATCTGCATACTAGGAAGAACATTCGGAATAAAGGCAGGGTGGTCAATTGGTTATTTGTAGAAATTCAAGGAAATGTCATCAAGATCTGAGCAAGGGCTGAGACAAGAGGGAAAGTTATTAACTGGACTTGGTGACTATTCATGAAAAGAGAAAGGACCTGGTATGATTTCCTGATTTTTGGCATGGCTGACTGGCTGGATGAAAATGCCGCTTATGACCCTGCAAAGCAGATTTGAGAAAGTGATGAGTTTTGGACATGTTAAATTTGAAGGATCTGTGAGACATTCACATGGAGATGTCAAACAGACTGGATTCAAGTATTTGAAGTTTAGGAGAGAGGCATGTGCTAGAGATGTTTTTATTCATCAGTACTATCTGTTTGTGATCTTATAATACAGATATAGACAATATGTATATACTTGTTATTTAGTTATTAAACATACTGAATATTTACTTGCAAAAGCATAATACTTCCTTCACAGGTACAACTGAAACAAATTATAACAACTACCGCTTATAACATACTATTTGCTGTGAATTGTGCTAATTACCTAGTGTGTACCATAACTCTTTGATGTAAGAGTAATTATTCCCATTTCTCATTTGAGCAAACTGAGCACCAGAAACACAGCGTAAACTGGCCAAGGCCAGCGAGTGGCAGAACCGAGAACTCCGAAGCCAGCGTGCTTTGTCATATCTCTTTCTGGGTGGGGTTACAGCAGCAACGACAAAGTATTACATCGCTCACGGACAGTTGCTGGCAAGATTTTACTCCGCCCCTATCTCTGGCTCAGGGTCCATCAGGTGATGACAAACGAGCTCCTGTGGAATTGTGGGTAGATACGGGTAGTTGCTGGTAAAAGAAAGGATTCCTAAACACCTCCTTGCTTAGTCTTTCCTCCTCATTTTGCTCAGGGTGCACGCAACCCTCAAGCACTAGGACCGTGAGGAATCCAGCTGGCAATGGCATCTCTGTTCACTGCCAGAATTCGGTTTCGGCTCCTGCAAGTTATGGGCTTTTTTATAGGTCTCGTAGGCCAAGCCGTTCGAGCCTTTGGCGGTCCCAAGTTGGGCTCAATGATCACACGACCTGTGAGTGAACCATTACTCCTGCTTTCGGGGGTGCAGCTGGCCAAGCTGATCCGACAGAGGAAGGTGAGAGTGCAATGCAGGCTGATTCAAAAGAGGGTGGATAAACAGGTCTTTTAGTGAAACTAAACGCCAGAAAGTTTAGTGCTGGTAATGGTTGTAACGAGTTTGGGTTTGGTGGAGATCAATTTCCTTTCCACCCTCTACCAGGGAGATATAGGACAGGCATTCATTGGGGGCTAAAAGGAGACTTCTGGGAGTTGTAGTGTGCTTATACCCTGCGCTTCTGCTGCGGGCTTCAGTTGGATTCTTTTGGCACCTCCTCATAGTCCTTCCTGCCCATTTGTCCCGTTTCTGCGTAATAATTGTACGGGGATAAATCAGGTGAGGTTTACAAACTGTTTCTCAGGGAAATTTATTCCCTCTTGAGCATGCGTTCCGGCTCTCCCTCAACTCCCGCCCCTGCCCTACCTGCTGCTGCTTCTTCAAGGGATGTTTATGTTTAAAAGATGTATACCTGCTCTCGGTAGTATCTGCCCTAGGATAATAATAGCTGTGGCTGCCATATATTTAGTGCATAGTACCTGTCAAATGCCGTGCAGGGCACTTTAACATATTCCGTCTCACGGGTGCAGTTCTCTAGGTATCGTTCCCATGTTACATATGAGAAACCCGAGGCAAAGCGATTTGCGCAAATAAACAAAAAATGGTGGAAATTCTTAATCCAATGATTTAAGTAGCTCAAACAATTGTTCTTTCTACAGTTGTGCAAGCAAGACCATCTGTTTCTGGATCATGAATAATTAATTCCCTACAGATCTTGGATTATAGTAGTATTCTTTCTTTATTTCCCTCGTCTTTATTCCTCTGTTGTCTCTTTTGTTTTGTCTTATTGCTTTATTATCATAATCCAGAATGTCTTTTTTATACTCCTGGTAACCTTTCAATGACATTTCCTGCCTTTTTCCTGTATGCCCTCCCAGCCTTTTGTGCCCTATGCTTGCTTTTGCTAACAATTGGGGAGTATGATGTAGTGGAGAGACAATAGGTTTCAAATTTTGGTCTGTCTCTTTATAGTTCTATAACCCTGGGCAAGGATTACCATGACAATTGCAGATAATGAGTGTCAAGCACCTGGCACCATAGTAGACTGTGTAGCATAGTGATGAGAAGGCTAGATTCTGCAGTCACACTGCCTGGGTTCAGAAATCCTGGCTCTCCTACTATTTAGGTATGCAGTCTCGGAAACATTCCATAACCTTTTCGTGCCTCTAATATTCCGCAGAGAAAATAAACTTGATAATAGAATCTACCTTATAGAGTTGTCGTGAGGGTTAATTAAATTCATATATGTAAAACTCTTAAAAACACTGCCTCGCATAATAGTCCTGTATAAGTCTGGGCTATTATTATCATCATCAGGTTTTTGGAAATGACAGCCATTATTACTATGTTTTTGCTCACCGACGAGAAGAGATCATCTACATAGAGTTTATATAATAGTGTTCTGAAAGTAATAAGTGGACAGGTCATGAGGTCTTATTTGTTTGTCCTGGTCTTCCTTCAGTCCCTGCAAGGTTCTGCCTGCCACAATGTGGACAATAACAACTTCTGCCCTTTCTTGACACTTCCCTCATTTCTCTAGAGAAGTGACTCTCAACTAGGGCAGTTGAGGGACATGTGGCAATGTCTAGTGACATTTTTGGGTATCACAACTGGGTGAAGGTGCTTTTGCATCAGTGGGTAGAGACAAGGGATGCTCCTAAACATACCACAATACACAGAATAGCCCATGCCGTAACAAAGAATTAACTGGACCAAAATGTCAACAGTACCAAGATTAAGAAACACTGCCCTACATCACTGAGTATTTGAGAAAGCTGGCTTCCTGTTGGTCTTATTGCCAGAGACTGGGAGGAAGCCATTATAAAATTAATAATGATTTGACCTAGTATTTAATGTGAGACTGGGTCAGTTCCAGTACTTTTGTTCAATTCTAGGGTGCTAGATGGAATAATAAACAGCTATCTTTATAAGAATGCCTACTGTGTACTAGGAACTTTGTATGTTTTATCTCCAATTCTCTTATTAAACAGCAAGACATTACTCTAAGATCAAGAAAGAAGTGTAAATATAAGGGAATTGACAATATTACCTATTTAAAGAGTATTAACTCCAACAGACTGTATTAATTCACTCAGATGTTACCCATATGCATTCAGATATTATCATTTGGTGCCTAAGTACATGAATGGGTAAATCCTGTACAATGAGTGAAGAAAAGTTCTAAAGTACCAGATATCTTCAATTTACCTTGAGACCTTCCTCGGAAAATTCAAGTATTTTTCTGTCTTTTACTTACCATGGATTTGCAATTGGGATGGCACTTGTCTTCTTCAGTCTTTATACTATTACTGCGGGCTTGAAAAGGCCATTAAGTCGCTAGTCTGTTTTCCCTATATCTCTGAAGGCCAAAGGTTTGCCTTTTTTTTAGAGGATAAAGTCTCTTTATTATTAAAAAATGTTATTTTCTCAAAATTATTATTTCCATGCCATTAGGGGTTTCTTTATGAATTCTTTAGTAATGGGAGCATAGTCTATACAATAAAAAACAAAATTAATAATATTACTACCCCAATAAATTCAAGATATACTTTCAAACAATTTAGACAATTACTTACAAAATATAAAATTGATATACATCCAGTAAATAAACAAACTTTGCATTTGATAATTGACTTTGCATCTAATAATCACACAATGTATACTTTTTAATTTTTATTTTTTTCAGTTATAGTTGACATTCAATATTAATTTAGTTTCAGGTATATAGCATAGTGATTAGACATTTACATACTTTACAAGTACTCACCCCAATAATTCTAGTACTCATCTGACACCATATATATTTATTACAATAATACTGGCTATATTTCCTATACCATACTCTACATCCTGTGAATATTTTATAACTACCAATTTGTACTTCTTAATCTCTCGCCTTTTTCACCCAATCCTTCAACACCCCCTCCCATCTGGCAACCATCAGTTCTCTGTATACTATGTCTGTTTCTGGAGGTTTTGTTTGTTTATTTTGTTTGTTTGTTTCTAGATTCCACATATAAGTGAAATCATATGGTATTTGTCTTTGTCTGGCTTAATTCACTTAGCATAATACCTTTTAGGTCCATTCATGTTGTCGCAAATGATGAGATTTCATTATTTTTTATGGCCAAGTAATATTCAATTGTTTATATATACTACCTCCTCTTTATCCAGTCATCTACTGATGGGTACTTAGGTTGCTTCCACACCTTGGCTATTGTAAATAATACTGCAGTGAACATAGGAATACATACATCTTTTCGAAGTAGTGTCTTGGATTTCTTTAGATAAATACCAGAAGTGGAATTCCTGGGTCATAAGGTAGTTCTACTTTCAATTTTTTGAGGAATCTCCAAACGGTTTTCCATAGTGGCTTTACCAATTTGTAATCTCAAACAGTGTGCAAGGGTTCCCTTTTCTCCACATCCTCACCAACAATTGTTTTGGGATTTATCAATGACAGACATCTGATAGGTGTGACGGGATATCTCATTGCATTTCTCAGATGATTAGTGACCTTAAGTATCTTTTCATATGTCTATTGGCCATCTGTATGTCCTCTTGGGAGAAATGTGTATTCAGGTCTTCTACTCATTTTTAAACTGGATTGTTTGTTTATTTGGCCTTACATGTTTTCATTTTCACGTGTCTCAAGGTATCTTTTAATTTCTTCCTTGATCTCATTGTTAATCCATTCATTGTTTAGTAGCATGTTATTTAGCCTCTGTGTGTTTGTGTATTTTTCAGGGTTTTTTTTTTCCTTGTAATCGATTTCTAGTTTCATCCCATTATGATCAGAAAAGATGCTTGATATGATTTCAGTCTTCTTAAATTTATTAAGACTTATTTTGTGGCCCAACATTTGGTCAATCCTGGGAAATGTTCCATGTGCACTTGAGAAGAATGTATATTCTGTTACTTTGGGGTGAAAAACTCAGAAAACGTCAGTTAAATCCATCTTGTATAGTGTGTCATTTCAGGTTGCTGTTTCCTTGTTGATTTTCTGTCTGGAAGATCCGTCCATTGCTGTCAATGAGGTGTTAAAATCCCCTACAATGACTGTATTACTGTTGATCTCTCCTTTTATGTTGGTCCATAATTGCTTTATATATGAAGGTGTTCCTGTGTTGGGTGTTTATGTTTACTAAGGTTATATCTTCTTGTTGTATTGATCCCTTTATTATTATGACATGTCCTTCTTTGCTCTTATTATGGCCTTTGTTTTAAAGTTATTTTGTCTGGTATAAGTATTGCTAACCTAGCTTTTTTAAATTTCCATTTCTGTGAAATATCTTTTTCCATCTCTTTACTTTCAGTTCTTGTGTGTCTTTTGATCTGAAGTGGGTGTCTTGTAGACAGCATGTGTGTGGGTCTTGTTTTCTTATCCATTCAGCTACTCTATGGCTTTTATTTAGAGCATGTTATCCATTTATATTAAAGTGATTATTGATAGGTATATAGTTATTGCCATTTCTTTATTCATATTTATGTTTTTGTTTGTTTTCCCCCTTCTTTTTAAGGAAGGCAGTTTAACATTTCTTGTAGTAGTGGCTGTTGGTGATGAATTCCTTTAGCTTTTTCTTGTCTGGGAAGCTCTTTTTCTCACCTTCAATTTTAATTGATAGCCTTACAATGGAAACCATCAACAAAACAAAAATACAGCCTACTGAATGGGAGAAGATATTTGCCTATGAAACATCTGATAAGCAATTAATATCCAAAATGAAAAACTCATACAACTCAACACAAAAAATATAAACAATCCAATTAAAAAATGAGCAGAAGACCTGAATTGGTATTTTTTCCAAAGAGGATATATAGATGGCCAATAGACATATGAAAAGATGCTCGAGGTCAGTACATATATACAATGGAATAGTACTCAACCACAAAAAAAATATGAAATCTTGCCTTTTGTGACAATATGGATGTATGTGGAGGGTATTATTATTCTAAGTGAATTAAGCCAGGCAAAGACAAATACCATATGATTTCACTTATATGTGGAATCTGCGGAGCAAAAGAAGCTAACAAACAAAATGAAAATAGACACACAGATACAGAGAACAAAGTGGTGATTGCCAGAGTGGAGAGGATGGGGGCTGGGTGAAAAAGGTGAAGGATGAAGTACAAATTAGTACCACATGGGGAATACAGTCAATAATATTTTAATGGATGCGTGTGGTGCCAGCTGAGTGCTAGAGTAACTGATGGGATCACTACATAAATTATATAAATATTTAAACATTGTGCTGTATATGAAACGAATAAAAAATGCCAATAGCAAAGGGAGAAATGCATAATCAGACTCCTTCCCTAAAAAAGAAATTTGCTTTATCTGATAGTAATGGTACTGTCTATGCTTTCTTGTTTAAATTTACCTAATATATCTTTGTCCATACCTTTATTTTTAACTTTTCATTGTCTTTCTGTACCAGGTGAATTTCTTGTAAACAATATACAGCTGAGCTGATTTTTTTCCCAACCAAATTTGATAAGTCTCTGCCCTTTGATAGAGGAATTCATTCCTCACTTATTATAATGTTATTGGTTTAATTCTTTCCATTTGATATCATGTTTACAATTTATTATACTTACTTTCTCTTTTTCTCTTTCCTTATTTTTTTCTGGCTTGATCTAGTTTCTTTTTATTTCATTTTCTTTCCTCTTTATTTGGGAGTTCTACTTTGCTTTTTAATTTCTTAATGCTTATTGTCCCATGTATAAGAATTACCATTGAAACTATAATTGTACATAATAAGTAAATACTAATCCTAAGATTCCCCCCAGGTGGTTTACCTGTCTTACCTGTTTTCACATTCCTAACCTAAGGATCCTTGGCCAAAGGTAGCCAGAGTTAGCAAAGAAAAAAAAAATACAGGACACCAAGTTAAATTTTAATTTCAGATAAACATGATTTTTAGTATAATTATCCCCATGCAATATTTGGGACATACTCATACTAAAATTATCTATTCATCTGAAATTAAAATTTAACTTGGTGTCCTTTATTTTATTTTGAGACTGTGCCTTAATGCATTTTTACATCTCCACTCCTCAACTCCTAGACTTGGCAAAGATTATGTATAATGTTAAGTTTTAGGGTATTACTATAAAATGATATCTATCATTTTATTAGTTATTCACTAGAAAAATATATACTAGTTGAGTACATATAGATAATATCTCTGGACTCTAATTTCTATTTACTTAGATGGGAGTTTACACTTTTCATCCAGACCTGTTTTTCATAGCGTTCTAATGCTGGTATATTTCTGACTTCTTAGCTTGAAAGAAAATATCATTTACCCCCTCACAGTAGACTGCACTGGATAATTCATTGAAGATGTCCTAAATAAAAAGCGATTAATGCACATAGAAGGCTTTCGTTACACATTGTTGAATGGATACGTTGTTCTTTAAATAAACACCTGTTAAATAAATTATTATATTTTGTAGGTGAAATGCATAGATGTTATTCAGGCTTATATCAACAGAATTATGGATGTGAACCCACTGATCAACGGAATTGTAAAATACCGGTAAGCATTTTTACTCTTTCGTGGTTTTTCTATTTCTTTGGCCATGCCATCTTGGCATATTTCCTGGATTCCTCTTCCCTGTGTCCTTCCTTTGGTTTCCCACTGGGACCTTCCCTGACTTATAATTCAGCACTTCCTGCCCTTTGTTGAGCTTTTATGCTTATGTGCCTGCCTCCTCTCACCCCTCGCCCCTCATTGACTTTAAGATCTTTGATGGCGAGGAATACATTTCCTTGATTTTTACATATACAACATCCAGAACAAGGTCTAAAACTTGGTAGGCATCACTGAATGCTTACTGAATTAATGAGTCTGATAGCTACTCTAATAGGAGAAACTTCCCTTACTACCACATTTTCTGATGTGGATTTAGTATAGCATATGCTATTTTAAAAAGGTATTAGGTGTCTGATTTATATGTCTCATTTGCCAAGTAAACCCTTCTAGGGAGCTGTGAGGTATTAGAAAGACAAAACTTGAATTTGTTTTTCTGTGGCATCCTACACAGCACAGTTCTTATCATACCGTGACATAGGGTGGCATTTTCCTGATCTCAGTCATTCATATAGCACCTTTAAGATTCTTGTCTTTTTTAGTAAGCCACATTGCTTGTAAGTTTTTATGTGTTCTTGTTTAACATCTGTACTGGTCTTGGATTATGCTATCATCACTGTCATGTGGCAAATCAATTTTCAAAATTAAATTTGATCAAAGATATTAACTAACTAATTTATAGAACCAGGAATAATTAGCTTCAGCTTCAGGCGCCAAATGGTATCTACCTATCACATTCTCTGACAAAGTTTAATAAAAATGGTTCCTATTAAAAAAAAGATTCTTGTCTTTTTTGCACAGCAACTCTGAAATTGTTAATATACTTATTAAAATTGAATAACTTATTTTAACTTAAGTCAATTAGTTTTAAATGAAAGTTTATATTGCAACAAAATTTTGAAAACTATTATCACTTGACATAGATGGTTACTGTATATATAAATAAAATAAAAAATAACCAGTATTATAAAATTATAAACATTTAAAATATTTTTTATGAAATATGAACACTACATCAAATGGATTTTTGCTTTATGGTTTAGTTTATATATTCTTTCTTATTTAACACTTCAACAGCTTTTCCAAAAAAAATTATATTTCCTACGTTATAGTTGTGAAAAATGTGTCCCAGAGAAGTTAAGTTAGTTACCTAGGGTCACACAGCTACTATGTGACAGAGCCGTAATACAAATGTACAGACATCTGATGCCAAAGTTCGCAGAAACAGAAGTGCAGAGAGTCTTTATGTTCCAGGAGCTCTTCCTTGTCCCTTTCCTTCTTCTATGGACCAGCTCTGTACTGATCCCATCATCCAGAGATATTTCCTCAGATTCTGCACTGGGGTTTTATTTGAAATGTGGTTTGTAGTTAATTCATTGACAGAGTATATATTTAAACATCTGAGAGAGAGAAGGAAATTCTCTTATTTATATTTTTCTATTGTATTTTAAGGAGTATGAGTCCTAAGGAAGGGGGTCTTTTGTTGTGGAACTTGTTTCTGTGTGAAATAATTAAATTGCCATTCTCATTGAAAGTGAGTGATGATGTGGGCCTACAAAGAAGAGAGTGGAGAGGCTGCTGGGGGTGGGTAGGTGGAAGAAATGGGGCAGGCAGTATGTGTCAAGGGATTGAAGATTTGGAGAGAGAGAAGACAGATACTTCTAGGAGAGATGTTTAAATATAATTTAGTTAAGTTTGTCCATGCTATGTGTAACATCAGTGTTTTTTTCCTGCCTCCCTTAGCACACACCAAAATGGCTTTCTTGTGCTAATTATGATGTTTCTATTTTATTTGAAATTTATAATACTGGCATTAAAATGAATGAAAAATATATGTAAAGCACCCAACACAGAACCTTACATCAATCAATCAGTTTAGCTATTGTTATTGTAATGGTTGTTATTACAACAGGAGCTCAATAAATGAAGCTATCCTCATGATTATACACAGTTCTACTGTATTGCTATCTGTAGTTTACTTGGTACTAAAACTGGCTCTCAGTGATTGCAGTCACACAGCTACGAAAAAAAGTAGAAGCAGAAAATATGGACTCTAAATCTGCTGGTTCCTAGTTTTCTCTTTCTATTCTTGATTGACTGATCAGAAAATATTTATCACTTTACCATCTTCTTCCCAAACCTGTTCTTCCACCTAGTCACACAAGCAAGACACCTGGATGCAACCCTGGGATCCACCTTATTCCTTCCTTTCCAAAGTCTGTCTCTTAACTTCAGTCAGTTAACAAGTTTTACTGGCTCTTCTCATTTCTCATCATGCCAGCATTCTCTGTTACTTCCTATTCTGTAGCATACTGAACTACTTCACTTCCTCTGACCTGTTGTGCTCTCTCTAATCTCCCTAACTTTGAATATGTTTTCTTTCTGCCTGGAATACATTTCCTTTCCCCATTTCTTTTATATTTGGCTGAATTATTTTTTGAGAACTCAGCTCAAATCTTAATTTCACTTTATTTAATCATCTCGGTTTAAATGAGGTGTCTACCTCTGAGCTCCTAGAGCACATTGTGCTCTTGTCACTCGCATTTCATGCAGGGTCCAAAACCACACTATTTTAAAGAATATAATATACAGATTTGTTGAAATAGGTGTTTAACGAATGAAAAAAAAAACACCAAAATTATAGCACTGGAGCAACACAGAGATAATGAGTGCAGGAAACAGCTACCACCTCTAGATCTGAGAGAACAGAGGGAAGAGATTGGGATTATCAGAATTTAGAAGCTCAAAGGAGGTGCCTGCAGAGCTAGGACCCAGATACATGAGAAGAGGATACTGCCTGGCTGCTGCTCATACCTCAGAAGCTTAAAGAGGAGAGCTGCGATTCAGACCTCTGAGCAGCAGTTGCCAGCTGACTAATACTGGTATTTGTAAGGGGCGTAGTGAGACTGGTTCTAGATTGCGTAAAGAGGAAGCTGGAACCACCTACTTTTGCCTGGATCAGAGGCCATTGTTACAACAGTGTTATCAAGAACAACAAGCAAAGTGGATGAAGCAGATCTCTTCACTTCTTTGTCTTCCAGTCTTCTAGCACCTTGTGTTTGAAGGATCTAAGAGGGCGCCAGTTGGCAATAGAAAACAGTTTTCTGAGTTCATCATAAAGTGGTGGTATAGAATGCTTGGTTGGAGGCTGCATTGCCACTGTTCTTTTAATTGTATGACCTACCAGATTGAGCTTCTCAATGGGAGGGATCATCTTATTATTTTGGTATTTGTATTATCTAGCACATGATCCGACATGTAGTAGTTCATTAGATGATACCTTAAGATATCTGTTCTTAGAATGTGTTCATCTTTGAACTCAAAATGCAGCTTCCTCTAATCCTCTGCAAGCTTTTCAAGTCATCTTGGATTGTGATTAACTGTGAGTTTTAGCTATGAGTTTTACACCTTGCTCCCTGCAGCATGTACGATCATGCATTCTAGCCAGTAGATATATCTTCCTAATACTGAATAACATGGAAAATGGCCAAGGCAAACTGTCTGGGAGACTTAGAGCCCAGAGGTGGTAAGATTAGCAAAAGTACATATGTATAGAGTCAAGGATCCAAGTTGGGTTTCTTCCTCTGCTATTTAGTAGTTGTATGATATATCTCTGAACCTCTCTGAGGCTTTGTTTCATTCTTTATAAATGGGAATTTAATATGGCCCCTCGAGGTGTATAGTTTTACAAAATTAAATGTTTCTAAAGTACCCAACGCTTTCATTCATTTATCCCACAAATATTTGTTCAGTGCCTACTATGTGCCTGACACTGTGCTAGGTGTTGGAAGATATAAAGGTGAACAAAACACAGAGCCTGACCTATTTCACTTCCCAGTCTAGTGGTTGCAACATACAAATACCTATTGTTCATAGCACAGTCGAATTAAGACTCTGATAGGGTAAGAAGACAATACTGTAGAAGCACAGAGGAGGTGTACCTATCCAGGACTGGACAGGTGTCGGGGAAGGCTCTCCGGAGGAAGTGATATAAAAACAGAACTCTGAAAAATGAATAAGACTAAACCAGATGATGGCAGCAGTCTGTATAGCTTCTGCTATACAAGTAAGGATACTGTATAGCTTTTCGCCTGAACATGGGGTTGGAATCCTTGGATTTTGCTCTCCTCCCTTCTGCTCTACTGAGATCACTGGGTGGGGGCAGGAGTTCAGGATATATAGTATGAAAAAAGCCCTCTCAGACCTCAGTACAGTCTTTCACCCACCCCATACTGTGTAGCCTATGTATTATTCTGGTGTGACCACCTTACAACTCATTTTTAGCCTGTGTCCATAGAGGCAGGGGTGAGGATTCTTCTCTGGGGTACCTGGCTTTAGATAGGCTGAAATTCTGGGGGTTTCTTTAGTGTCAGGGGTTTAGTTCTGCCTGTGGCATTGAGCCCATGGGTGACAGTACCTAGTTTCCTTTCTGCCCATAACAAACTCCTCTTAGAGTTCTCTGCTTTTACTGATTATGTGTGGCTTAAGTTTGGGCAATATTAATGATGGGGCTTTTAAGACCTTTGGAAAGTATATATCGCTACTTCTGTCTTGTACTTGGGAGGAAAAGGACTTTTGAGTCTGACTGACCTGTGCCACTCAGCTGGGAAATTCCTAGCTGTCAAGTGTTCCAGGAACCCTGTCTTACCACCACCAATGTCATACTAGTTTTACTGGTGCTGATTTACCAGTAGGAGATGTTGAAGAAGTACCTGCTGTAGTTCTTCTCATTGTTTTTCTGATATAAAGGCTTGCAGAATATTTCCTAAATTTTGTGTTGCCGATTCTCTGAGCTCTGATTTGAGCAATTTGGCTTTGGCCTAATCTGCTATAATCCTAATCCTTTGAATTTCCTGACAAATTTTATTGGCTGTCAAGAGAATGTGATGATATTAGTAATGATGATAGTAATAGCCACCTTTTATTGAGTGTCTCCTGTGTGCTCA